TTTTTTTTTTTTTTTTTTTTTTTTTTTTTTTTTTTTTTTTTTTTTTTTTTTTTGTTTTGTTTTGTTTTGTTTTTGTTTTGTTTGTTTGTAGCGTAAACTTGCGTACCATCCTGAACCATATTTTCTCTGATTGGCTGAAATTAGAGGGTAGAATAGTTTTGAATATAGTAAGTGCTGGTATTGTCTTGTCTATTTCTTTGTGAGGGTCTGTGCCGGCCCTACTCTCCTTATCTCCCCCTTAATGATATATCCGTAAGGTGAGTTCTGCTTCCAGGGGCGTCTATCTCCTGCCTCCATAGATAGTATGTCGCCATTGATTAAAATGGAGCCTGTCCTTTTTTATTTCAGCAATCCTGCCCTCTCCCAACTGATGTTTTACGAAAGCTTCTATGATTTTGTCCTTCAAGTTTTTAGCAAAATTCACTTCTATTTCCCTGCAAGTTCTTTTCTAGCTTCCTCTATATTCGACCTCTACTATTTGCAAGGCTCCTTCCCAAGCTTCTTGGGGTGCTATAGTTGAGTGGTCCAGTGTTTCTTGGCACCTGCGCTCCGAAATCATCCATAAGGTCGCCAGCCTTAGAAATTGGAAAAAGAAACTTCGAATCTCTGCCATGCCTTGTCAGTGTGTAGTCCAGTAAGAGAGAGACTCGATCCGATGGCATTGGTTTGCTAGTGAAGGACCGAAAGATCCTATTTAAACCTGCAAGGCATAACTTATTTCTGGTGTTCCTCAAATCCTGAATAGTTGCAACAGACGAATAAATATCACCGGTGCTCGGTACCGGTCCCATGAAGACTCTGATGCCGTCAAACCATCCACAGAAGCAGCCGCCACATCCGCCGACTCTTCTTCATCTTGCTCTTCCTCCTCGTGTTCTTCGTCCCCATCCTGTCCAAGCAGCCTTCTATTCGTCCGTTGCTCAAATGCTCTCACCGTATAAATTTCCGCCAAGTCACCCGTTGTCTTCGTCACGCCTTCATTCTCGATTTCCTCCTCACTGTATAGCTTCTCCAGTTGAGACTTCCTTAGCTTGCCCAAATCCATTGACACCCTCTTGTGAAACGTTTCCTTGTCTTCGCCTACTTTCCTCACAAATGCCACCTTAACTTCGTCACCTCCCGTACCTCCTTCGAGACTCTTTCTCCTTCCGAACAGCTTGCGTCGTGAGCTAGAGGGAGAAGTTAACTTGATGCAGTTGATTCGTTCCCTTAACGCCGGCACCTCTCGGTCTGCCATGTCCCTTTCGTCACACATACGCCGATATGCTTCCGCCAGTTGTGCCCATTCGCGTGGTGTCTGCCCTTCCGCCGTTGGTTTCATCTTTCCCCTTGCTGGTCCTTCCGGGGGACTCTTCTCGGTAACCGCCTCATCACCACACTTGCTACCGCGTTTCAGATTCTCCACTTCGTCCCTCAAGGTCAAGAAGTCGTGAACCAGTGCTTGGTTATCCGCCTTGAGGGAATCCAGCTCTTTGTTGACCCTTTCTGTTGCCATCCTCGTCAAATCGTCGTCCTCTCACTTGAGATGTTCAACCTCCTCGTTCCTCTGTCTGTCCATTTGTTCTCTTGCGACAGCATCTTCTCTCTGCCACCGATTCTCTTGTTCCCTCCTTCGGATTTCATCGCTGGATACAGTCGTTGCCTCTTGACTGGAGGTTCCCTTCTTCAAGTTCCCCAACACTTGCTCACATACCTTCTTCATATTTTCTTTAACCATCTTCCCCAACAAGTTTTCAAACTCCTGACGTTCTCTCTTGACCTTCACTCGTTCCTCTTTTGCTTCCAAAGCTTGCTTGTTCTCTTCCTCCTCTTTCATCTTCCTCTCCTTCTCCTCTCTCTCCTTTCTCTCAGATTCCATCTCCTCAGCATACCAATCCCACATCCTTTCAAAGCGATCATTCTTCTCCCTCTTCGGTTATCGACCCACCGAGATTGTTGTTGATACCCATTCCTATTGTAGCCCCCGTTATACCCTTGGTTGTAGTTTCCACTGTGCCCTTGGTTGACATTGTATCAGCCTCCGTCTTGTTGACCACTGTTCTTAGCCGGATAGGAGGGGAAAGACCAACGTGCCAAGTTAACGGGGCAAATCGGTGTGTTGTGACACAACCACACGAATGTAGTATACTGCTATGATGGTTGTTGTGTGTGTGAATGCAAAATAGGAAGCTCATTGATGATAACAACACAATCACATGACAAATCATATGACGATGCAGGACATACGTAGTGGAGGGAGAAGAGGTGACAAGTTCGACAAAATCCGAGCACAGGTGCGTGCATCGATGTAAGATGAAAACGATTGACATGTAGACACTGTGTTTCCCCCCGTACAGATAGGGGGAGTATGAACGGCCGTACGGCTGTACGCACGGGCCCCTCAGGCAATCATACGGGCCATATGTACGGTCGTACGACCGGCAGTTTCGGGGGCCTTCTGTGGGGGGGAATGGCAT